TCAATTTAGCCAGAGCTCATAATAGCATCTCTGATTTATACTCATTTATGCCTTTATTAATAAATCTCGCAAGCTAATATTGAAAAGTGCATAAAAATTCAATGTATACGATAAATGCGTGCGCTCGCGCTGTTGTAACGTTACTCACGCACTCGACGTCAGGCGTGCATAGACGCGAATCGAATTGTAGTTGCTATAGCGACGCGTGTTACGATATGATTTCTGCATATATAAACACTCAAACCCATTAATATCTGCTGGTTGAGAGACGAGGCGACTTCAGAGACTTCTGGAGAATATTTAACGTACTGAGTTCAGAGCGAGAGGAGACTTATTTTAGGAGGATTTTTTCTTTGAGTAGTTATTTTTGAAGAATTTCAGATTAACGTTATTTCTGAGGAAAGTTTTATTTTATTGTTCTCTTCTTATTTCGGAATTCTTTCTTTCTTTTTTAATAATTAATTAATTACATTTTTTTTATTTATGTATTGTTTTATTGGAGTTTGGAGGAGATTGTCAATGGCTCATATGGGTGAAAGACGAGGTGAGTGTTTTACAGCCTACAGAAAGAGCAGAGGATAATGGACTAATGGCCGCCACACAATGAAGGGTTTTGATCCTCTGCTCCAGTCTGTGAGGGGCTCTGTGGATGCTGGAGGAGTCTGAACACACAGCGCCAGCTGAAACCGCAGCCCGACGGGCCAGAGATCAATATGTGTAATTTCTCCACAATTACAGTAGAGAAATGCGAGAAAAGTGTAAATAAGCAGAACAGGATCAGAAAGAGACTGGGGCAGAGTGTTAACTAGCATAATGTATTAATGTAAAATAGTCCACTTGGCATTAGACACAGAATGTGAGTCACCAAAAAACTAAAGACAATTTTTATCATCAGAATGTTCGTTTAAACAAATAATATTTGTTGAGGAAACTTAACAGACCAATTTTAAACTCAAATAACCGCCCCAAACTAAAAAACATAATAGAAACTCTTCTAAATGTCCATCAAAACTGAACATTAAACATTACAAAACAAAATTACACATTAAAAACAATTTATTTCAACATTTACTCTCCTAATGCAGTACCATGTAAAGCATGCTGGGAATTACTGATCTACTCCCCAGTTAGTTACGTCAACAAAGTGAATCAAGTAGTCCCCACAATGTTTACAAAATAGAAATGTTGAAATTTTACAAATTTAAATGCATTGAATATAATTAAATCAAATTGTGACAAAACGTTCAAGAATTGCTTTGCTTTGGCTCATTTTAACAACGTAACATGAACAAGCAGGAAGAATATTTTTTTGAGTATGTATGGTGAAAGTCACCATACTGCAGA